GGGAGTGAGATCCTTTTTAGGACTAGCAAATTATTATAAGAAGTTTAAAAGGAACTTCTCTAAAATTGCTAGTCCACTCACTAGCCTATTGAAAAAGAAAAACAATATCATTCAATGGAATGATGATTGTAGTCCATCTTTCCAAGAAATCAAGGATGCCTTGGTATCAAGTCACATCTTATTCTATTCTAAATTTGATATGGAATTTGAAGTCCATACTAATGCAAGTGATTTTGCTATAGGAGGAGACTTAATACAAGAAAAGAGATCGGTAGCTTTTGAAAATAAGAAATTAAGTGGAAGTCAATTGAGATGGCCAATCCATGAGAAAGAATTGTTTGTTGTGGTACATTGTTTGAAAGCTTGGAGACACTACTTGGAAAGTAGAAGAATCAAAGTATACATTGACAACATTTCTTTAAAGTATTTTATTTCCAAAGCTCAAGCCTCAACTAAGGAGTTGAGGCAGTATGATGTGATAGTGTCAATGGATATTGAACTAATTCATAAACCGGGCAAAGACAACTTGGTGTCTGATGTGCTAAATAGCAGAGAAGAGTTCATGGGAGAGAAACTCCATGACTCCATGACACTAAAGACTATAATGTATCATGATGACTCTCTCTTGATAAAAGGCATTAAGAAAGATTATGAACAAGATAAGGATGCTCTTGAGATTAAGGAAGCCTTTGCTCAAACCAAAACTACAAGAGAACAGAGGAGACTTATGGAGGTCTCTTCTATAAGAAATGGATTGATTTGGTTTAAGCAAAGCAAACTCTATGTACCAAAAGGTAAGTGGAGAAAGAAACTAATATATGAAATACATGATTCTCCATGTGGTCGACATAGAGGTAGAAAGATCACTTTTAAAGAAGTGACAAGATCCTACTATTGGCCCTTTGTAAAGGAAGATGTGGACCAATATGTGAAGAGTTATTTAGTCTGTTAAAGAAATAAACACTCTACTCAGACAAAGAGTGGACTCTTACAACCATTGCCTATTCCATCTCTACCTTACAGAGACATTTCAATGGACTTCATAACTAGCTTACCAAAATGTGGTGAAGCTAACTCTATAATGGTAGTTGTTGATAGATTCAGGAAGACTACTAGATTTGTATCAATGACTATGTTTCCAAAGGATTCAAATGCGGCAATAGAAACTACCCCAAAATTAACAGCAAGTGTATTCTTAAATAATTGGATCTCTTTGTATGGAGTGCCAACCTCAATTGTGAGTGATAGAGATGTGAAATTCACAACTCAATTTTGGCAACATGTTATGAGGAAATTGGGTTCTAAAATCATATTAACCACTGCTTGGCATCCATAAGGAGATGGCCAAATTGAGAGACACAACGGAATTCTCTCGATGTATCTAAGACACTATGTGGCAAGTGATCATAAGGATTGGGTCAAATGGTTGCCCATAGCTGAGTTTTGTTATAATACAACTCACAATATGTCCTTAAGAAATACACCATTTCAAGTAGCTCATGGCTTTAATGCTCTATGACCTATAGATTTGGTAGGAGTCAGACAGAGTGATGAAACAACTTCGACATTTTATTTAGTTGAAAGAGCAAGGTGGGTGGCAAAACGGGAAGCGATATAACAAATCACTAAAACTAGACTGGAATTGGCCCAATGAAGATATAAGAAACAAGCAGATAGGCACCGAAAGGATGTGTAATTTGAAAAGAGGAACAAATTTTGGTTGAATACAAGTAACCTCACTTATCCAGCACATCTTACTCCCAAATGGACCCAGAAATGGACAGGTCCTTATAAAATTGAAAGAGTGGTACACAAGAATGTCTATGTGTTGGATATACCTAAAAGATTGAAGTAGCATCCGATTTTCCACGTAAGTATTCTCAAGAAATTTGTGGAGGATGAAAAAGGCTTTCACAAAGAGAAGGCAAGAATTCCACCTAAAGAGAAAATATAGGATCAAACCATGGGTCAAGTAGAAGCGATACTTGACAAAAAATGGATGGATGTTAGAGGGGTTTAATACTTGTGTACTTTCAAAGGGTATCCTCCGCATGAGTTCCAATGGATAAATAAAAGGAACTTATTACATGTACAGGGGTTAGTCATAACTTTCAATAAGAAAGTTGGTGATTATAGAAGACCCAAGACGACAAGGAAGCAAATCAAATCCCACTAAAGGATAGATGGGTTAGTTGATTGATTGACAATTTGAGAGAGATCAATAAAAAGAGTGACCAAGAAGATGAGGACATCTTCACTCCAAAGTGGAGGAAGGTCACAAGCCTATATGACTTGTAAGAAAAGAGTATCCATGAGTTATAGTGTAAGGGGAGATATATAAAAAAAAAAAAAAAAAAAAAAAAAAAACTTGGAAAAGAAGGTTATGAAAGTTTTCAAGAGATAGAAGATTTTGGAAGGATTCCAACCCGAGGGGATTTCGTAGAGGAAAACCTTAAGAAGCTTGTATGAGGTGGATACAAGACTCTGAGCAACCAGGCCTAAACGGTTGGCCTTTCCTAAATGGGTTTCACATTGAGTGATAGCAAGTCACTTCCATATGGTAGGGAAGGGTACCAGGGTGAGGCAGATCCTAGTTAAGAGGTTCTACGGTCGAGGCTAAGTCTAAGTAGGGAGTAATATTCCTATTATTCACATTGAGAGATGTGAACTTTCAAAATCCACGGAATTGAGAAAACTTAAGCAAATTGAAGGCAAAAAGAAATTGCACAAAAAATGCAAGAAGGGGGTAGCATCCCATCTCAATAAAGAACTAATAAATCCTCCTTTATCCCTACAACCTTCTCAAGGACTAGAAGTGTGAATGGAGGCTAGGTAGACAAAAGAGCCTTCAAGCTATCTAAAAAAAGAAAGAAGGATGTAAGTGCAAAACATCCATTGTAAACATTCTATGAGAATGGGAAAACAAGTACACCTTATATGTCAATGAGGACATTGACTCTCCAAAGTGGAGAAGGGTGTAAGGGTCTAAAAGATCTGACCCTTGCACTTGTGAGTCAAAAGGTTTGGAGCCCTGGCGATCCCCAAGCCCATGGGAAAGCCATGGCGAGGTGGCAACGGAGCGGTTGGACGGGCCACCTCCCTCACACCAAGAGACCACATGATGCGGGGCAGCCTGCGGTGTGAAGGAAAGTCTTTGGAGTCCCTGTCGAGTCTCGGGTGATCTGGAGGAGTCATGAGAACTCCGACGGCCACTGGGGTTTAGTTTGTTGGCGTCGTGAGTCTGGAATTACAGGGACCGGACTGTGGTAATAGTATCTGGAAGAAGGGACCAGTTCACGGGGCTAGTACTAACGGGGCTTTCTGCTGGCGGTGTTTCAGGGTGAAACCAAGTGACAAGTAGAAGAGGCTGGCGGTGTTTCAGGGTGAAACCAAGTGACAAGTAGAAGAGGCCCGTGACAGGGATTGGTCGGCGAAGTTGTTTCGAGGCATTTTGGAGAAATGACAAGACGATTACGGTTTGAGGTCTAAAGCTGTAGAGTTCTCTTTCAATTCGTGGTTTAATTCCGATTATCCTGAATTGGCAGGTGTGAGGGTCAACGGGACCAACTATTCAGTCAATCTTTCAACTTGGAGCAGGTTGCCTTTGCAACAGAAGGACTCAAAGATGCTCAACAAACGGTGGGCCTTATCCACTTCCTTGCAGTTCGTCTGTACTTGCTTTTCGTTCTAAATGCAATGGACATGAACATGTGGTGTGCATGCTTTACTCCCGTGTCCGTAGGCTTCGGAAGAATATGAGGCGTGGCCGGTCCTAAGTATGGCAAGTTATCACGTGAGTGAGTAGACGAATGGAATCGTTGCCATTGAAATGAAGGAGATGTTATACAAGTAAATCGTTCTTAAATTGCTTCAGTGTAATGAGCCTCTGGTATCATATTTGTGCAGATGTCGGCTATTAAAGCTGCGAGCAAGAATCTGAAGGGGACCATGAAGACCCTTAAGATTGATAATATTGATGTGCATTCTTTTGTCTCGTTTGCTTCGCCTTTCTGTGCTTTTGTTTCCGTGCCTTTATTCTTGCAGATTAAGAAATGTCAATGTCGTTCATGATGGAGACTGCCTTGTCGGATGCATGCTTGGGTCCGAGATTGGGGTATTTACAGTTAGAACGAAGCAATCAATGGTTTACCTCAGATGTTTCGAATGCAGAAAATGCAAGATGAAATGATGTACTTAGTGAACCACAGCTCTGAAATTCAGGAGACGCTCAGCCGCAGTTATGGTGTACCTGACGATCTTGATGAAGAACTTCTGGGAGGTATGACATAGTTCTGATAGCTTGGTGGTTCCAGATGGAGTTCTAAGCCTATGCGTCCACTATTGATGGTTTACATTTGGAACTTCATATTATGGTGCCTGTTTTGGTGATGGTGTGCATGAACCAGAGTAGGATGCTTTGGAAGCGGACATGGAGTTTGGAGCAGAGCCAAACGGAATGCCATCTTACTTACAAGATGACAAGGACTAGGTGGAATTACCTGGCGCTACCTCTGCTCACGCTCAGCCGCAGGTTGGTGTCTCGTAACTGCTTCATGCTTTTGGTGAAATGAGGTCGTGGAGTACACTCTGAGAACTTGGAATCCTTGGATTTTAAAACTTCGCATGACTTCAAATGGGAGGCATGTGTGGAGGACATATTTTGATGATGCATGGTTGATTCTGAACGAGCTGCGGATGCAGGCGACCATGGCTTCCAAACAGTTACTAAGGCCTCAATACGAACCTACTCAGTTGTTTTGGGGTCGGATGATGGTAAGTTGCCAATGTAAAAAGGTAAACACGCCTGTATTGCACTATTTGGAGTTCACATACATCAATCCAGTGAATGGTTCAAAAACATTGAAAAGGTATTTTGATGCGGATATGTTATGAAGTCGTCATTTTGTTTTCACATCAACATTCTTTTTAGGGGGGTTGATAAATGCCTCGGATATCGTACGTTGATGTCGGTGCGTTAGGGGGAAACTGTATTACAAATGTTGCTCGATAACTTGCCGTGTTACCTTGATTTTGATTGAATGGGCAGCACATTGTGGAGAAGAAACGGGCAAAGTAGTCAGCAGTGAATGGATTATCCACGTGTGGAATGTAATGATTCTGCTTTACGAAGGTACCGACAAGAATCCTAACATCTACAAAACCTAATTCATGGGGGACAAATGGTGCAAATCAGCACCGGATTTCATAAGAACCGGCCCTTGTGATGTAGCGCACCCATTCAACAGTGTTGTAACCACTCTTCTCCCATACCTGAACAGATAAGCAGCTACGAACATGAGAAAGTTACTTGCAAAATCCAGTCTGCATGTGCACCATTGAAGCTATCATGCGATATTACACATACGGAGAAGGAACCCACCTTCAAAAAACGGACCCTTAGGCCGGAAGCAGTAAACATGGGGACCTGGAACTCCATCTGGATGGGCGGTCTAGTCCAAGTCTTTTTATCAACCATGGTTGATATCAGCTCTACTTCAGCACTCATTGTTAACTCCGTTTGCCCAGGGAACTTCCTCACCCTGCACGCAGAAACCATTGCCAATCATATTCTGAATACATACGGTAACCTGATGCGTATCACGCCTACCTTGCGCTGCTTAAAATAAGTGCGTAAGCTTCAATAAGGCCTAAGCAGAGGAGAGGAGAAGAGAAGGCATACTTCCACACTAAGCAGTCGGTAGCCGCATTGTACTTGGCTCTTCCAGAGGTCAGCTGAAAATTAGCCTTCGCTGTGTGCTTGGGAACAGGCACCTTGACCACCACTCCAAGTGCGAACATTTTGGCCCCAAAGACACTCTTGACCTATATGTGCAATGCTTAACATCATTAGCCACGCTGATACATCAGCATGTGCATTCTGAACATTGCTTATCCGTCACCTAGACCCTGGAACTGAATAGCTTTAAAAACATTATCGAGAGCTTTATATCACAACGCGAGGACGCGTATCTAACCTTAACGTTGACCTCCATTCGGGTCCGACCCAGCTCCTTAATGCTAGGCAGCACCCGGAAAGGTAGATTAATACCCTCTGAAATCCGATACCTGTGCACCAATGAAATAATGGAAGCTTAGCACGACTTGCCATGCAAAGACGCCGATCTCCGACTATGTGAGCAGCATTTGCAAGTCGTGAGATATGGAAAGATATGCTTCTTCCAAAAGTTGAGAGCATGAGTCGACGAACTTCATGAGAAAGAATTGTAGCAGTTCACTTCCAGTAAAAGATACATAGATCAGGAATTTACTTCATGAGTTCAAATTCTCCATCGGGTGGAACAAAACTGACTGTCTTCTCAGCAGTGAATCTTGTGAGATTGACACATTGGTGGAATGTAACATCATCAAGCTCAATTGTTTTCCCACTGTCATGAAAGAGGAGTCACAAGAGCACAGTGTAAAACACTTTTCAAACCCAAATATGTCGAAGCTGCAAGAGAATGAGAGTAAAAAATAAAGTAAATAAAATAAAAATAAAAATAAAAAACACTTGAGGGCAACATTGTTAAACGAAGCCATCACAAGAGTGTGGATGCGCATTCAACCTTCTTGTTGGCCGAGACTTAACTTCGGCTTCTTTTTCCAGTCCAATTTTATCGTTGAGCCCAAGCTTAAGATCCGGCATCCCCGAAAGAAAGCATTTCATTAGAACTTTTCCAGTCACATCACAACGCAAAGTAGTTCCTGCAAGACCAAATAGTTAGTGCAAACATGTCGTTCAAGAACAGATATAAAATCCAAAACGCATGAAATAAGAAGATCCAAATTACACCAATCGATGCAACAAGCAGTTAGACAAGCCTATACCCATCAAGCCCAACGCTCTTCCGTCAAAACTCTCGAAATTTCTATTGAATGAAACAGTAATGTGGTTTAATTACCTTCACTTTTACAAAGAACTGGGTTCTACAAAGGACTATAACGAAGGCCAATGATTGTACTTTCACGATATGTAAAGACCTACCCTTCTGAGACATGAGAAGATTAACGCTTTCCACAATATCGAGAAAGACCTGCATAGGCAACAATAATATGTTGAGTACTACATATTTTTACACAGTATAACCAATAAAGCATGAGGTACACCTCAAACATTCTGTTTTCATTATAAGTGTACCTCGTTTTTCTTGTAAACAAGACCTTCACGCCTCCAACCAACAGCTCCCGTTACTTGAAGTGTTGCATTAACTGGGGGTTTATTATCTATGGCCTGCACAAAGACAACAAAATGGGCAGCTGTTGAGAACCTCAATAAACCACCAAGCACATTTAGCAGGGACCATAGGTCAAACACTACTCCAACTCAGCAGCGCATGCTGAAAACCTAGAGGTAGTATCAAGTGTTCATCAAGCCATGTAGGCAGGTACGAAACCCAAAACACAACACATGTGAGATTCGGATCACCTTGGATGAGAATGGAGAACGAACACCCTCTTGAGTAATGTAAAGCTTCAAAATCTCTGGAGACAAGTTTTGAGGATACCCGAAGTCCATGATTTCTGCAAGAACGACATTGATGTCAGTAACATATGAATACGTCAACAAGAAATAAAAGTCCGATCATGAACCTGTGGTCACCATGACGAGATAAAGCTCATCACGTTAGACCATAAATAACATTTTACCAGCGGCATTGTGAGCTTCTGCAAATAAAATGAAACCGTTTTGACTCTGCCAACAGTTTGACAGATAGAATTAGGTCCAAACCGTTCCAAAGCAATTGATCAGAATCCAAAACAATCAACTTCTATTCGGCCCTGGAAGAAAAAGTGACTCCACACCATCAAGAAGCTCGTAGATAAGCACAAAGTTGTTTCTGATCGCATCTTCATCGAACGCCCCTCCGAAATACGACTTGAAAAGAGCGACTGTCTGGCACCATCATCCAAGATTAACTTCAGAAGAAGTTTACTTCGACAAGCCAACTTCAAGATCCTCAACAAGCACCCTAAAACATAACTGAATTAAACACTTAGGCTTAATAAAATACGTGTCTCAAGCCTTCTAGATAAAGTACTTGGTGGAAGAAACGGAAGCAGTTATGTAACAGTGATCCTCTTCTATTCATAGTTCCACTATAATGATCAAATTTTACCAATTAACCTACATGAGAGCCAATAGGTGTCCTCGTGGTTTCTGCAGCTAATACGGCTAATGCCGGTCAGTGTCCAGCCACGCCATTGACCCTCTCCTCTATGAAAATGAAACGAGCGGACGATTAATAGTTGCACTGCTGCGTTTGATTTGGATGGAACTGTTCTTGTAGCTTCCTCCCCTGACGCTTGACAGCAATGGCACAGAAGTTCCTATAATCTCGTGTGTTTTGAACCTGGATCTCACACCGGCCCAAGCTGGGTCTAAAGAAATAAAGTGGTTTAAAAAGTTTTAAATCGTAATTGAAAGAGCTTGCTCACAGAATATACCTCAACCATGAATTTGAAAGCGCATGCGGCATTGGCATTGCTGCTAACAACAGCGACTACATACACATTCATGATGCGCATGTACAGAAAAGAGCATCCTCCTACTTGTCGCACGGGGCATGTACCCAGATCTTTAGTCTGCATAATGTGGGTGCGAAACGCATCCACCATATTGCCTCTGCATTCATAAATGATGCCCACAGTTCCGCCCAGTGAACGCCACTTCTGTAGTTGTAGTAGCTACATGTCCAACATAAAACCCTTCACCGGGTGGACACTTCTTGCAGAATAGCTTCTCCGTAGCGTCCTCGGGTCTAGAACACGAGGTTTTCAAATCACTCACCCAGCTCATCTACGGTTCGACAACCCACCAATCCTTCCATCCCCATCTCTTCGATTGACCATGCAAAACTCTCCATTTCACACGCCTAATCAACACACAAACCCCCACGAAAAAAAAAAATTGTATGGAGAGGGACACACACACATACCCGACATCATCCCGATACAACCGATTGATGAGCACGTCGCCTCTGAGATTCAGGAAATAGATGGCAGATGCCGCGACCGGCATTGCGCCCACCCTCCGATGCCTCAATCAAACCCCTGCAACACAACTCCTAATCCCGATCTCACCCTGCCCCTGCTCTCTCATGCAATGCCACCTTCTTCCGCTCCCCTAATCGTGCTTTCGCCTTCCGAGAGATTCCTCGTCGCTTGCTCGTGGGTCCGTCACGCAGAGCTCACGGGACCAAGGACACTACTCGCAGGTTCAGCAGCTGGCGTCGCATGGCTCCTGCACGTCTCGCGACTTTCGTTGCGCATGGCTCCGGCTAGATCCTTTCGAAATTGGGTTTTCTATATCGGGATTTACGAGCAGAATGCCGTGGAAAGCGCAAGTCGGTACGCGAGCAGTGACTCCGGGTTCTCGCGCTATCTCTCAATCTCTCTTTCCCTCTCTCAGCTCCCCCTCGTCCTCCATCACTCGACATGAAGCTTACTTCCACAACACGCGCGCGTCTCGTCCGCGTCGTCCATTTGTCTTAAAGCGATTAGGGTTTCACCTCCTGAAGCTAATAATGGCTGTGCTTGGAAGGGATTTCTGACCGCGTCTCTTGGATAGTTCATTTGTGTTGATACCAAGGCTCTTCTATTGTAATCTCTATTGTTTTAAAACAAAGTGCATTTGTTTTCTCCTCATGTAAAATTGTTTTGGATCTATACCTTATACTACCACAAATTTTTGTTACTCTCTTTGTTCAATAACCATCTAAACCATATCATTGAATATGATTTTTGATTGGAATGATATAAATTAAAACTAAAGAAATATGTTTAAGTGGGTGGTAAGTTGTGATGGCAATAGGATTTTTTTTGGTGGCATTATCAATATTCTATTTTTATTATGTTAAATATTTAAGTAGTAAAAATACTTCATTAAAAAAATAGAGTTTTGAAAAAGTCACAAAATAACAAAATTAATAACATATGTAGTAATAAGGATTTATTTTTGTGTATGTAATAATAAATTAACCAAAATTAATTGAAAATAAAATTTTGTCATGTTATTATATTATTTTATATTTTTATATTTATTTTAAAAGAATACTAAATAGATCCATTCTTTTACTAAATCGACCAACTGTATCTTAACCATCATTAGAAAAATGATGGTTTCCATCACTGCTTGTTTTCAACCTTTGCTCCCTCCATTCCCCACTCTCATCTTAATCCGCTCCATTCTTACTCATAGGTTTTGACATTGTATTGTACAGCAAGAGGGTTGGTATAAACTTATATGTTTTATTGCATGATGTGATGAAGTTGTAGCAATATAGAGGCAGGCATTGTAACATTATCACACAAAACCTTCTAAGAAGCTAGATTCAAGCAATTCAACATGTAAGTCATGCCTTCTATAATGTTTTTATAAAGGCCCTCATACAAGATTCTTGACATTATAAATCCATCACAAGAATTGCCTTTGCCATTACAATCAATGTTCTTGAAGAAAATATCAAGGGATGTAGATTACATACAATAAATATGTTGTTCAAGACTCCATAAACACATCTAGTTTCAAAAGTATATCTTTTTATATAAAGATGTTGCTTAATAATTTCTATTTCTTTGTTGTGAGAAGACATTTAAAAGTAGAGAGCTTAAATGTATAACAAATTATTGTTATTCTCTTTGAATACATTCATTTGCATGTTATGGCTACCTTCATTGCTATAAGGATTGTGTTGGTGCTTCCTTCTATATTCCTTAAATACAAAGCAAATATGTGATGGAAGCCCTCAAATATAACAATGTAGATCCATTTGTATATCTTTGCCCACTCGTTGCACCACTTTTTTACTATTTATTTTTTTTCTTCCAAAGCATTGGTTTCAATCCATGATCACTCACTGTCACGGACACAGAATACAGACTTGATATCTACCAAGAAGTTCAAGAAGAATTGGCAAGAACTAAATTAATCAGATGAATACAAGAACAACACCAGAGAGGTGAGCTAGAGCTCCAAGAGATGTGTTGTCGAGACTGAAGAACTCTTCAGCCTCGATTCCAATATATACTCCTATTTAGGAAGCTTCTCAAGCAACTTCTACCAACTAAGAAGCTTCTCGAAGATTCCAGAGACTTGCTTCTAGAAGGTTCTAGAAGCTTGTCTCTAGAAGGTTCTAGGAACTTGTCTCTAGAAGGTTCTAAGGACTATGTCCCTAACATCACCCCCTCCTTTAGCTTCGAGGTCTCTGAGAAGCAATGTTGTTATCAATCAATACCAACGCAAGAAAATGAAGATCTGTCGCATAACGTCTGTTATGAACTCCAACTGTTGTTCTCGAGGTAAGTGGTTCATCGGCCCTCGAAGCCAATGGTAGTGGCCCACTCCTTCAACTTCTAATCAAGCATGAACTTTCGTGTCTTCATTATGAAATTGTCCTACAAATATGCCTTCTGATTGACCATCGTAAGCAGGCTCGGACTCAAATACAATCACCAGTGATCGATTACTTAGTATCCTCCGTCGTCGTCGTGGTGCAGGTGGTTCTTCATCTCGGGGTCGCCTTCGTGAACTAGTTGGTTGAGATAATCTAACTGGCATAGTATCTATCTCTTGGCTATCCAAATCAGAAGACCAAACTATGGCTACTGAAAAAATTCTATTTTATCTTGGAGAAAATAACTACATCAACTACGAATTTTGGTGGTGCTCTCCCCCTTTCTTATATTCTTAGGTGAGAAAGCTTCAGAAAGAAGCTATTGTCGAACCGGCTTAGGTTTATGAGGATGTTGTTGATGAAACTCCTGTACCTTTTGCGGCGCATTGGTGAGATTTTCGGCTGGCTCTCACATTCGCTCATTAATGTTGTAGCCGCACCAATGAACAAGATACTCCAACTTACCCCACCTTCGTCGAGAATCCAACACCTTTTCAACCTCGTATTCCTCGTGGTTCTCGATCTCAATACTAGGTGGCGGACATTGCACTCTTCCATGAAAAGACGACTCTCGATAAGGCTCCAACAAAGAAACATGAAAGATTGGATGTACCTTCATAGAAGCCGGTAATTCCAGACGGTATGCCACTGGATTGATTTGCTTTTGGATGATAAATGGTCCCAATCTTCGATAGTCCAACTTATCACATGGTCGCTTGGTCTTGATATTCCGTCGAAGAAGCCATGCTTTATCTCCAATTTTGAAAGTAGGTGCTTGATTCCAAAATCTATCTGCAGACGCCTTGTAGGATTCTTGAGCTGATTGTAATTGAAGCTTCAAGGTATTTTGAAGCTCTGATAGTTGTTTCGCAAATCCTTCAGCTGCTGGATTGTTATTTGTTGATGGACTCAATAAATCAAGCTTTGGATGATACCCATAGTTGGAAAAGAATGGTGTGTATTGAGTCGACGCATGGAGGGTGTTGTTATATGCAAACTCGGCTAACGACAGATATGTGGTCCAATCGTCTTGCTGATAGTTGATGCTGCATCATAAGTATTGTTCCAAGACTTGGTTCACCCGTTTCGTTTGATCGTCAGTTTGATGATGAAAAGCCGAAGAAAGCTTGATATCCACCTTCAGTATCTCAAAGAGAGATCTCCAAAACTTTGATACGAACTGGGTTCCTCGATCTGATACGATATCATCTGGTAGTCTACGATATCGATACATATTATCGAGAAAGAGCCTTGCTGTGACTTCATTGGATGATGTCTTCTTGCAAGGGACGAAGTGTGCCATTTTTGTAAGCCGATCTACCACGACAAAGATGTTGTCAAATGAGTTCGATGATGGCAGGTCCGTGATGAAGTCCATGGAAATTGAAGACCATGGTCGATGTGGAATCGGCAATGGCTGTAGGAGTCCATAAGGGCGATGCCGAGGATTCTTGGATCTTGAACAGATGTCGCAGGAATCTTTCACAAAATCTTTCACATTCTTCCACATTTGGGGCCACCAAAAATCTCGAGAAATAAGCTCCAAGGTCTTGTTGAATCCAAAATGTCCCGCAACTGGAAAATCGTGGCAAGATTGAAGAACTCGGAGTCGTGCTGGTCCTTTTGGGATATATAATGGCTCTTCAAAGTATAAAAGATCTCCCTCTACCTTGAACTTGTCGTCATTGGCACGCTCCTTAATATCAATGGCTACTGAATCTTCAATGGTTACGGCACATACCTGATTCAGGAAGTCAGCATCAATTGGCATAATAGTAGCGCAAAGCTGAAATTGCTCTGGCTTCAACAATGTTGTACATTGTTGATCAAACGTTGCTTCTCCAACCTTTAGTACAAGATACGATCTCCTCGATAAGGCATCAAATAGTCCTTGCTGCTTTCCAGGTCGATAAGTGATAATAAAATCGAACCTAGATAGCAACATACTCCATCAAGCTTGACGTCGATTTAAAACTCGAGCCGACATGAAATACTCCAAATTCTTGTGATCTGTGTATATGGTCACTGGATGTGCAGCTCCTTCAAGAAAGTGGTGCCATTCTTGGAAAGAATCCACTATAGCAAGAAGTTCCTTATCGTGGATCTCATAATTGATTTCAGCAGCAGAGAACTTTTGAGAATAGAATGCAACCGGATGGAGCTTCTTGTCTTCTCCCATTTGTGAAAGTACAGCTCCCAAAGCAAAATCCGAAGCATCAGTTTCTATATAGAGGGCCTTTGTAAAGTCTGGATGTACCAAGATTAGAGCCGTAGTAAATGCGGTCTTCAGGTTTTGAAACGCCTTCTCTGCTAGAGGTCCCCATTGCAGCTTATCCTTGCATCTCAACCGAGTGAGAGGAGCAGCAACTTGAGAGTAATTCTTGATAAAGATTCGATAGAAGTTGGCAAAACCAAGAAAGCATTGTACGTCTCTAACTGTCTTCGGAACCTCTTAGGACACGATTGCTTCCACCTTCTTGAGGTCCATCTTCAAGCCTTCCGTAGTCGCAACAAACCCCAAAAACTCCATCTCTATTTGGTGAAATAAACACTTCTCCAACTTGGCATATAGTCTTCGCTCGCGTAGTTTCTCCAATACCAAACGAACGTGTTTTTCATGCTCTTCCTCATTTTTGGAGAATATCAAAATATCATCCTAATAGATGACAACAAAATCGTCAAGGTACTCTCGGAAAATGTCATTCATCATATGTTGAAAGACTATTGGAGCATTGGTAAGACCAAAGGGCATGACATTATATTCAAAATGGCCATACCTTGTACGGAACGTTGTCTTCTACTCATCTCCTTCTTTGATTCGTACGAGGTTGTAAGCTCCCCTTAGATCAATTTTTGTAAAGATCCTTGCACGTCCAAGTTGTTCTAAGAGACCAGAAATCAAGGGTAATAGATAACGATTCTTCTTTGTTACCTTGTTGAGGCCTCGATAGTCCACGCACATCCGCAATGAGCCATCTTTCTTCTTCACAAATAAGATGGGTGCTCCAGCTGACGATTTTGAATGACGGATGAAGTTCTTGGCTAGATTCTCGTCGATGTACTTCCGCAACTCCGCCAACTCCATCTGCGAT